TCAAGAAAAATTTGGAGGAGGGGGAGGTGGAGGAGGAGCAGGAAACAGCAGGCGAAGAAAGAGAAGAGGAAGAGGAAGAGGAGGAGGAGGAGGCGGCGGCTGAGGAAGGAGGACAAGTGGAAGAGGAGGAGGAAGAAGGAGGACAAGTGGAAGAGGAGGAGGAAAGAGAACAAGCACGTGGCGGGGAGGTTAGAAATTTTAATCATTTAATATTAATCGGGGAAAATTCGCGCCGGTTTAGAAATTTTGCAATATTAGGAAGAGAGGCGATATTCCGTTTGCGTCCGCTACCCGAAGGAGCCGGTGTTTATAACTGGCTTGAAAACGGGTTCGCCGAAATTTATGCCTACGCGTTACATACCTCCAAACCGCACGATTACGTGGGATTTTCATTCGATTCGGAGGACTTAACGCACGGCCCGGCGGGATTATCGTTTCGACCGGCACGTGACTTAACTCGCGAGGACATTTGGCGCCTTGTGAGTTCAGTAGCGCAAAGTGCCGGAGGTCTCGATATCGCGCGGGATTTTAACGTACGCGTTTTCAATCGCGGCATCCAGAAGTCGCGGACGCGTTTCAAATAAATTCACACGGGAAGACGTTGCGAAACGTTCGATTTTATCAATCTCCAATTCCGATAATTTATGTTTTCCTCGCTCTCTCGTGACCGCGCAAATTTATCGCGAACGCGGTACGTTGCGTGCGGGGGAACTTCACGAGCGGTGGAATGTGGTAAGACATCAGAATTCCTCATTACAACGCGAATTCCCGTTGGATTTGACGAGGAGAGCTGGTGTCACCATTTCACCGGAGGGTTGCGGGATTCGGGAAATAGAATGTTTCCGACGCTTTCTCGCCGCATCTGATATAGCTATTGTTGTTTATAATTCTGCTACTTTTGGACGCGGCGAGAGACCCTTATTTGACGGAAGCACGGTACTCGCCTCTCTAGAACGCGAATCTTTATATCGTCTAAATATTATATATCATGAACAACATCGACATTATAGCCCAATTTTAAATTTAAAAGCAACCGCGGGGAGTAGAGGGGGGTATTGTATTCCATGTAATATCGGGTATCGTGAGGAAAGGGGTCACCGCTGTTCGAATAAATGTTCTCGTTGTAACAACGTGCCGCCGTGCGATCAACGCGAAATCGTGGAACTCGTTAGGTATGAGACTTGCAAACGTTCGTTCTTCGGAAACGCATGCTTCGAACATCATCGCGCGACAAAGTCGTATGACGGTAAAAACTCCGACGAGCGTTTGTAACACCATTCGTCTCTGCGAAGGATGCGGGCGGGTTGTAAAAACGACAAAAAAACATGAATGCGGCGTTCTTTTTGTAAAATCTGCAGTTTGCAAAAACCCGTAAACCATCTTTGTTACAT